ATTTAATTTTACTGTATTTTCACAGAAAACACTTATTTTAAATTGCAATAATATTTCTTAATATTAGAGTTTTTACTGTATTTTTGATGCAGCCTTGGTGAGCAGAAGAGACGTCTTTCAAAAACATAAAAAAATCCTACTAATCCCAAACTTTTCGAATGGTAGTGTCAAAAAAACACCACTCATAATGTTAATAAAACCCACAAATCAAAAACATTTAGTTCAACACAGTTTGTGAATGAGATGTGAAGCTGAGATTGTTACAAAAACATACAGACCATAAACCAGCAGTAGAAAGTGAACTATTGAAGGAACGGCCGTTCAGGTTGGAAAACAGCACATGCTGACCTCTTTAAGACAAACTATAAACTAAGAGGTTATAGTAAACAGCGCTGGAGTTTATATTTAGGGTTTCCAGCAAGAGAATGCAGCAGCACATAGAGAGGATGCTTGACTCTGAGGTAAACACACACACACACACACACACACACACACACACACTTCCCAGAAGGGCCTCAAACTCAAAAGCTTTATCTTCCACATCAGATCCGTCCTTCTCTCGAGGTACAAGTACATGGTGTAGCTTTACAGAGAACATTCGGACAAAATTAAACACCATTAAGATGAACCAATCACAAGGAGTCTGCTTCAGGATGAGAGTCTCGAAAATGAAATGAAAGGAATGGGAGTGACATGAGGATTGAGGCAATGACTGAAAGAAACCGAGACAGATGTAACACATTGAATGAAACATGACATTTTGAAGATGAAAGACTGAAACAGTATTTTCTTGTAAATCTATATAAAAAAATATTTACTTAATTTACAAGTCCAAAATCATTTTTTACAGTGTACTAAAATATAATGTTAGTTCATACACACTTTTTTCACGTAAGAAGGCCCACACTGTAAAAAATGACTGCTGCGATTAGTTATCACAACATTAGAATAAGTAATAATGTGTGGTTTCAACTTTAAAAAGTAAGCGTCCGTGCTTGACTTAAAAATATTTAGTTCAGTCATGAAACTCTAGATGGCGCATTCTGACAGGGTGTTAACGTAACTTATGATATTCAGAGAGTTAAACGACTTGGCACAAGCTGATTGGTTCATGCTGCACATGCAGCCAATGAGCTTACTGCCTTGCATTTATATGGCTGGCTAGCATTCACTTGAGATTCCTGCAGGATTTCTCTGAAACCCTCCCCCTTCCCCAGCTCCATCTGTATAGATCTGCTACGGGGTTATTTTATATGCTATTTGTGCAGCAGCAGCATGTCTTAAAGACTCGCGGCACCGTATCGCCGTATGCATTGGCAGTAGCAAGTTCCTGTACTTGCTTGCAGCAGCAGCAATAATCTACAACTACAGCAATAACCAACAGCAGCAGCAATTCAGCAGCAGTGTAGCAGATCTGTTCCGCCAAGACCAAATGCATTAACATTGTCATATCCATCACCATGCTAAAATGTTCCGAGAGTTGTCATGATTGAACTGTAAGTTTAGTTCATTTGGGATATTTAAGTTATTTCAACTATTTTTAAGTTGTTTTGAGTAATTGCAGCAGTAATTTTTATTTTTTTATATTTAAAATATCATTTTATTAAACTATTAATACAGTAAAAAATGCACAAATCTGTACATAAATCTTCTGTTCCAATTTTTACCACATTATTATTATTATTTATTTTTAGTTTTTTTCCTTAGTCTTACTTATTTAAATGTTCTTTCTGTTCTCTTGTCATATATGTATGTTTATACCAAGAGCTCCTAAAAACAACACATTTCTTGTGTGTTTGCACACACTTGGTGAAAAAAGCACATTCTGATTCTGATCATTAAATAAAAATTCATTTTTTTGTTACAAGGGCTGTCATGTGCACTTGTCTTCAGTTTTTGCATTCATCTTTTAATCAGCTGTTTTTGTTTTTGTGATTTCTATTGGATGTATGAAGTGAGTTCTTCTTAAGTTCACACATGTGCACAGAATCACATTAAATATTGTTTTTACAACCGCAAAGTGTCTCAAGAATCCAAATCTGCATAGAATATTCGCAATTAATCTGATTTCCAGCCAGTCTCTAGAAAGTAAAATGAAACAGCAATATCAAATTAGTTAAATGTGATAAAAAAATGCATTAAATGTGTTCAATATCTTAAGTCATATTAAAGAAATGCATTATTTTGAAAACCCCTGCTCTAGGAAGCACAATCCACATTTAAACTCTTTGTACTGCTTGAACTCTTATTGAGCGTGAGGGCATTCAACTGCTCCATTTGATGGTGCGGAAACTGCCCTAGCTGTGTTTTCTGTTGGACTTTAAAAGAAAGGGTGTGAGTGGATGACCTGTCGGGAAGAATAAAGCCAAAGCGGAGTGATTCTTCACAGGCGGAGCTCAGAAACACGGCACACACTGGCCTTCAGTGCGACTGTAACCAAACCCTGCTCGACTCTGCTCCGCCGAGTGTGAAGCTGTCAGGATCTGACCTCTCCATCACAGCCGTGTCACGAAGGCCCACCTACATGGACAGACGCACCTGTTCCAGCCCTCCATTCACCTCTCCAGCTCCCAAACCTCGCTGCACCCTCGTCCCGCGGCGTACAACCAGGTCAAGGATTGTCTTTAAATAGGAGACACCTGCCCGTTGTGTCCATAGCTCAACTGTCTGTGATCTCACACTACTTTCTAAATCTGTTCACTGCACTCCGAGCACATTAACCGTTGGCCGTGAGGAGCGTGGCATCCCATCGCGCGGCCCTGAACACCATACAGCCGCAAAGTTCGCAAGATTTACATTCCAGATTTCACTGTTAACACGGCGATTAAAAGACATCTGGTAACACTTTATAATGTTCCTTAATAACATAAACAAACATTAAAAAAGTGCTGTTTTTACAGTGGATTTCTGCCAGTTCTTTACTGTAAATTTAACAGGTTTCTTTCCAGTGTACATTCAGCTATGAAGCACCCAGTCGTCTGGTCACTGTATCAATGAAAATGTTGCAAGCTTGAAAGAATCTCAAGGACAGAGTTTGTGAAAAACACTTGGAAGGAGGATATAAATGAAGGAGTTTAGTTCTTTCGGTTCCTCTATTCGTCTCATAGCTGATAACCTCAAAACTACAAGGCATTATAACCCAACTGAAGATGTTATTAAAAGTATTTTAACCCAAGATTAACTCAGCATTATATTTTAGCCTTTTTCACACCGTTTATACTTCTCCAGCAGGAAAATGCCACCCGAAAGTGAAAGTAATTTGAAAATGTATGGGAAAAAATAGCTCTAAAACAAAATCCTGTATTTTTTGAAAATCCCTTATACACTACCATTCAGATATTTTTCCAATACATAAATAAAATAAATACATACATAAATAAAAAATAAAAGCATAGATAAAAATAAATAAAAAATTCAGTAAGGATGCTTTAAATTGATCAAAACTCACAGTAAACACATTTATAACATTATAAAACATTTCTATTTCAAATAAATGCTGCTCTTTTGAACTTTGTATTCATCAAAAAATACAGAAAGAAATGCATTACAGTTTTTACAAAAACGTTTTCAACACTGATAACAATCAGAAATGTTTCTTGAGCAGCAAATCAGCATATTAGAATGATTTCTGAAGATCATGTGACACTGAAGACTGGAGCAATGATGCTGAAAATTCAGCTTTGATCACAGAAATAAATTCCACTTTACAATATATTCAAATAGAAAACAGTTGTATTAAACTGTAATATTTCAGAATTTTACTGTATTTTTGATCAAATACATGCAGCCTTGGTGAGCAGAAGAGACTTTGAAAAACATTTAAAAATCTCGAAAAACATTTAAAAATCGTTCCAACACCAAACTTTTGAATAGTAGTGTAAAAAATTCATAAACTATTAAAGCTGATTCAATTTTGTGGATAAGAGGTCATAGATTTCAATTGTCAAAATAATCAGGTTGAGAACTTTTTCACATAGTGTTACAAAAATAAACGCACCATCTTAAAATGAAAAAATAAAAACACACAGGAAATCAAATCCAGAATGCCAATATTGCTTCGAAACATAACAGCTAATTTCTTCCACTGATTTAGAGTAATCCTCTGTAACTAGTCTGGTAACTAGTCGGTTGCTGGTTCAATCTTTTACCATTATGTCCTTGATCAAGACCCATTGTGTTTGTGCTGAAAGAGTCTTTGGATTCAAAGCCTCAGTTAAACCAGCAGGTGAACACAGTTAAACACACAGTAGACAAACCTTTACCCACTAGATGCACATCTGATGCACCACACATGAAAAACTATAATCATATTCTGATATGTCACTACATGATTCTGAACAGCCTGGAGCAGAACGTCATGCCACAAAAAAATCCAGATGAATCCAGACCGTCCATTCCTAATACTTCCATTAACCTTTTGGCACAAGGGCCCTGAAAAACCCCCAGCGCCGTCGTGAGTCATGAGACAAGCAGCCGGAGTGTTTGCTTCCGCCGCACACATAAACATCCAACTGTTTGTTTGAGGAAAAAAAAAAAAGGCAGGTTGATCAGGTGGAAGTTTAAATGCTAAACATGAGCTTTCCATAAACAGGTGCTGATGTTTTTCAATCATGTAATAGTAGAATGAACACAAGTCAACGGCAAATGTGTTTAGGTGAGCAATAGACTGTTATATAAAGCAGTTAGATCCAGTTCTTGAATCTGATTGGTCGAGAAGCATAACGAGTGCTGAAAGAGTAGCAAAGCTTGCCTTTTCTAAATACTAATAGAGTGCATTAATGCCTATCCAATGTTAGCAGCCTTGGTGCTGGAAGTATTTTTCCAATCATGGGTAATGTATGATCAATTAACAACCTTGTAGCTCACAATAGGTCCATTCAAATCAATTACCCTAAAGAGAAAAGCTGTAGAAAGATAGTACTTCAAAAATATGATATAAAATTTACTTTATTTACATGTCATTATTTTAATTTACTTATTAAAATACATATTTTATAGGTGGTATCAACAATGGTATAGAGCATCATGTAATTTGACTTGTATTGGTACCAACAAATGTAATTTGCTACTAACACAGCACTCACTGAAGGTCTACTATAACATACAATTCTTATGCATTATTAGGGGGCCGTTCACACAGAATGCATATAAAACGCGAGACGCAGCGCTCAGGAACGGTTTTTAAAAAAAGTGCAGTGCAGAACGCCTCTTCCGCCATGTTGCCATCAAATACAACAGTTTCCAAGCCAACTTGCTACTGTAAACAAAAGCTTGCAACGCTTGCCCCGCCTCCAGGGTCTTCTGATTGGTCCCCTGTTTTGGAACTGACATTGATGAGCGGCACTGCATGTAAAAGTTTAAATTCTTTGAAATTTACACAGCGTCTTAAAAACATGGCGCTCATGTGCGAGACGGCCATTCATGTCCATCTAGCGCGTTTACATTGAAAAACAATGGAAAAGTAGCGCATTTAAATGAAAATACGCGTTCTGTGTGAACGGCCCCTTACACATCAATTGACAGTTCAAATGAAAAGCCCATTTCAGACCATGTAGAAATCTTGATAATACTTTAATCCGTCTTGTCTCTTGATCTGGTTATACACAGAGAGGGATATACATGTGCAAGGCGCAGGAAACAAGCGGATGCTGATTGGTTTTAATGGCACACGTCAGAAGAGCAGAAGAAAATTAACAGTGACAATCATTTGTTGTGTGCTCTTGTGCATAGCCTGAGATTGAAGAGAACAGTAATAAAGCATTCAAGCTGACTCATCTTAAAAAATAAAGCATCTTAATGACGGTGATTAAAATACTGTCTAATAAATACTGAATACAATGGAGTAAAAAAGCAGGAGAAAGCAGCAAGTTTCCAGTCTCTGTCGGGCGTCATGGCACACAGGAACGGACTCTTTCTCGCCTTCGTGACATCTTATAACAAGCATTACCATGTTTGAGGTGAGGTTGCCATGGACACCTTCCAGCATATGAGGTGAGGTCACTTCCTCCGGCTGCATCATGTGATTGGCTCATACATCTTTAGGCGTTTGACGGCTCGTGTTAGTGCGAGTCCATCGGCTGGGATGCCGGTCACCAGTGATATGGTGAATACTATCTATCCGCTGCATGACGTGGACGTGACGTCAGATCCCATTGGTCAGGTCCTGAATAACGCCCACCTTCACCAGCTTTTGGAGAAACTCTTTCTCTTTGGATATGTTGTGTGTCCATGACTGGGTGTGTGTGAGAGAAAGAGAGAAACAGAAAGAGCACAATAGGGTAAACGCTCATCAAAAGTTTGTCACGTGTGCTACGTTTAAAAGAGCCATGACGTCTGCATATGCGACTTCGCTTTTGATTTCACAAGCCACAAAAGCAGTTCGGACGGTCCACCTAAAGTAAACATTTACAACAACAGAGGTGCTCTTCTAGCTAAAGAGAGAAAATGACAAGTCACTGTGCAATTCAGTGCCATCTACTGATTTGCATTTTAAATCGAATCATCCTTTTGATAAAACATGTATCTTCTAAGTAGAAAAAAAACACTTTTTGCACCTGAAATAGGCCAGTTTAGGCCCACATCACAGGTATGTTTTGGATAAGTATCTTATTTTATCATTTCGGGTCAGTGCTGTGATGCCACTGAAAATATAATCTTGTACATGCATTTTTATGCTTTTCAAACGTAACCCTCATATTGCATTCAAAATCTGTATACTATTGTCTGTTTGGACCTGAAGTATCATTATTTTATAAAACCATAATATTATTTATCAAAAACCATTTTTCCCCAATACTAATGAGAAATTTTATTTGAATATATCTTTGTATGAAATGAATAAGAACATTTAATCTGAGGACCAGTATATTAACCCTAATATCAATAATGGAATTTAATTCAATTCCTTTGATTGAATTGAAAACAGTTAAAATTTACGAAACCTACATATTTATTACAAAAATTAAATTCAATGTTCAATTTCAGATTTCAAAATTTCATACATTTAATTTTCATGCAATTAAAAAAATAAAAATAAATCAGTTTCAAAACTGTGTGAGATGTGGGGAAAAGGCTACATATATTTTGCAATATTTTTGTGACACTAATATAACTCATAGATAATTTTATAAAAGTATTTGTGACTAATTGTATCCATACATACCCGGGTCCAAAATTACCCAAATATTTTTTTAAGGTTATATCTCTTTAAAAATAACTGTAAAAAATATGAAAAAGACCCACGGTGTATTTTAAGGGTCTTAAAGCATTTGCAAGTTTAATTTCCTTATTATTTAATTCCCTTACTATTTATTCCCTCAAAATGGATCCGAATGTTTTTGAGGGTTAAAGGTTAGATTTTCTTTAATGGAACTTGTTTTATAACTGAACTGAATCACTGAACTGACTTGAGCTGAATAATGACACTATTGTCTTTTTAGAGCACCTTTACAGCTGAATTATATTTTGCCTCATTTTTGAAGTTTGCATCATTGATTCTGTTACTTCCGTTTAATACTGTGAAGCTGTTTTGTATAAAACAAACATCTGTATGAAGCGCTATAGAAATAAAGTAGACTTGACATTGTTTTTGCATATTCTGCAGATTTTTTGTTGTTGTGTCAATCTCTTGACACACACACACACACACACACACACACACACACACACACACACACACAAAGGAACTACTGGACTGACTAGACCCTCAGAAATGAATCCTTATTATTGAACCCTGTAAGTATCTTGTAGTATCTGACTGCTTCATTTTATTAGTAGCTTGGCAAAGCTACAGTGTCAAAGTAGTTTCCTCAACACTGAAAGAAGAACACACACACAGCTCAGACTGCCAATGCTGCCTCATTACTCTGACCTCTCGGGTTTCTGCATGTTCCTGGAACAGAGAGCAGCATGAGGTCATGTGACCTGTTTATGGACGTGACTCAACGGACAGGATATTCCCAAAGATCATCAACCAGCGAGCGGACATCACTGGTGTACTTCAGACACATTTACATTCACATTCTACTCTTTTTAGATGCCAAACCGAAGACATTTCTGTTAACGGTGATAAGATAGGTCAGAAATTAATCAGGTTCCAGGGCAAAAAAAAAAGAAGGCCCCTGAAAGTGACAAAGTCCTCCAGTTATTTAAAATATGAATTCCTGTTTTTATCTGCTATCACACACACCATACACTTTTAAAAATATTTTATTGGCATCGGTGGTTCCACGAAAAATCTTAAATATTCATGGAACATTTCTATTGCACAAAAGGAAAAAAGTTTTTTCAGATTATTAAAATGTTCTTCACACTATAAAAAAAGCTTCTTTTAAGAACTGTTCACTGAAAGGTCCTTTGGCGAACCAATAATGGCTCTTCTATGGTATTTCTGTTAAAACCTTCTTTTAATTCTAAGAGCGTAATATGTGCATTTTACTATAGCTCACTAGTTTTGTAACAGAGTTCGAGAGAGATCCATCAGACCAGGTCAGTGTGGTGCTGTTACCTCTTTGATTGCAGACATCATGAGCTTCTCATAGTAGTGCAGAGGTGCGTGAGGTGTGTTCATGTCATATCCGAATCCGGCCACCGCCACCTCATCACAGTTATGGAGAGCCATCGTGATCGCAACAGTCCCCAATGTAGGAATATTCTGGAAAAACCAAAACACTTTTAGTATCGCACGTCAGTTTAGTGAGAGCGTATAAAATACCCAACAGTCATTCTTGAGTATGTAGGTAAAGATACCTTCATAAACCCTCAAGTTTAAGAAAAATTACAATTAATTAAGAAAAATAGTGTTTCTGGTTATTACTGCAATTTGTCTTTTAAGAAAATGTTTTATGGAAAACAAAAAAAAGTGTGAAAAGTGTGAAAGTGAAACATTTATATGTGAAAAATGATACAAATGTATTATTTGAAAAATAAACAAAAATGTGCTTTAATATATACTTGTATTATATATGCACAAACAAACATTTTTATAAATGCATATATAAACTGCTTAGACTAGTCAAAGTCTTGAACTAGTCTTGAATTAGAGAATGTCTGACTGATTCAGAAAATTCTTCTAAATCAAGATGAATCTGAATCGAAATTTTGATGTCTAGGTCATTTAAAAGAACATCTACAGTAATAACCAGAAAGTATTTATAGTGATACAAATCTGTAAATGATCTGTGATTCACTTACAAATCTAACTCAGACATATTCGTAAATGAATCATTCAGACCAGTTTTATAAACCAAACTTTCAATGATTCACTGAAAAGAGTCGTCTCAAAAGAATGACACAAATCTGTCAACTCTATAACTTATGCAGTTAGTATTTACAACTATATTGTTTGAGCAAAAGTAATTTAACAAAGTATTCAAGTACTGCAAAATGTCTGAATGTTGTAACATGAAAAACAACAAACATTAGTAGTCAAGTACTCATTTTCTATTAGCAATAAAACAATCAAGCTTTAATTCACCACTATACGGTTTAATTCATACTACACTGTATGGTGAAATGAGATGAAATTTGTTGAGCAAACACTGAACATGCCATGGATGGACTGGACACTCAGGGTAGTTGAGTGCACTGCTCACACACTTCAGGACAAGATAATACACCGTGTGACTGACTTTATCAGAGACACAGACAGAGCGGGACGTGTGTGTGTGTGTGTGTGTGTGTGTATCAGCAGAGAGGCATCATCCAGTCACCACCTGATCCACTGAGGCTGGTGAGATGAGTCTCAATGTGAAAGTCTTATCACCACAGAGAGACACTCTCCTGACTAATCCGGCCCCAGACACTCCGCCTGCATGCTGATAACACAAGAAACGCATCACAGCTCGAGCCCCTCGAATCATATCTCCATGGCAGCAGAGCGCAAACAGACTCTGGATCAGGTGGAGATGAGGCGGTCCAACACTTCATTTCAACATCATCTCGGGGGGTGCAACAATAAGGATGACCTGCTGACCCCGGGCCAGTGTGAGAGAGTTTTGGGTCATTTCGGTACATTTTGATCATGTACATGAATTATTTATTTATTTATTGTTTGTTTGTTAACTTTTAGGGAAAATGATCTAAAAGTATCTATCTGACTACCATAGATGAGGTTTTGTTGAAATTGCAAGAGTGAATTGTGAAACAGTAAAAACAGGTAAAAAAAAAAAGAACACTATATACTGTGTATATATATAATATTATTTGCCATGCATGTCATAATTTTCCATAAACTGCTCAGAAATATTTTATAAAATGCTTAAAATATTTTATGAAATACATTACATCTATATATATATATATATACACACAAATATTTTAACAAATATATATACTGTATATATATATATAAAACATGCATATATATAAATATATATGCATAAAAAAATAACTTAATAAACTTTAGTCACTGCACCCTGACTCACAAATCCCGAAACAACTATTACTTTAACAAAGTTACAAAAAATAAACCTGTGACTGCTTAGAGTAGGCTTAAAACAAATTATATATTTTTTTTATTTAAGACTAATCATAACTTTTTTGTTTTGTAAATTATATTAAAAAAAATGTATGTATGTGTGTGTATTTTAAGCACATTTTTATTATATAATAATTTTTCTAAAAAATTTTTTTTTACATTTTAATTCATTTTTATACATTTTTGTACATTTTTCATTAATGTAAATATAATGTTTTTCATAAAATATTTCGTTAAAAGACAATTTGCAGTAATAACCAGAAAAAATACAATTACAGTGAATGAGACTTGTAAATGAATCACAGATCATTTACAGATTCATAAATAAAACACATACTGAGCTTATTTGAATACAAAAAGTTAAGACGCATTACCTCTTGTCTAACTAGTTCCTAAGACATAGGCTGTGTTTCTGCAACTGGCCCCTGGCCTTTATTCAAAGAGGAGAAAAGTTTTCAATTCTGACTGTGACAGTATGGTTTGGATTGACCGCTTTAATATTTATTCAGTGTTTGCTCCTCACCCCTCTTCCCATGAAGCCATTGTTGTGTGGAAGGCCGATGAATTTGAAGGCTGCTTCCTGGATGAAATACGGGTTCAGGATCCGTATATCTTCTGGCTCTCTTGGAACGACACGTGCCACGGACTTCCAGAATCCCTCCATACTCCGCTGAAAGACATCAAGAGCGGAACACAGAAGACACTTGAATTAATACAAGAAACAAATGAAAAGAATAAACCTGCGTGACTTCGCTGACGGTCTTTACCAGCTTTTCTTTTCAAACACTCCTGCTCTGTGAATACGCTATTATAACCGCAGAAAGGCCTAAAGTGAAGCTGACACAGAACAGTCACTCGCGGCCACTGAATAACGCTCTCAGCTGAGTAAATAAGCCGCTCACTTTGAATAAAAGAATAAAAAGGGTGACGCTAGCAAATCGTCGGAGCCAAAGAGCGTGTCTGAACACAGAGCTCTCTCGCTCTCCTCGTGGGATGCCCACTTCACCTGCAGCTAATATGAAGGACCTTACGAACACACCTGGGAGAGTGTGACTGTTAGAAGCCATAACTCCGCTTGACATTCTGGAGCAACAACACCGGTGGGATTTCATCAAACGGCATCCTAAGTCACGGTACTACAAATAAACACGCAGTGTAATTACGTCCTGCCCTGTTTTCTTTTCAAGGGCTTTACAGTGGGTCGCACAACTACACAAAAACAACAAGTGCTTTGACCCAGGGAGCCTTACTTTCTGGTGTAATACAAACCACATGTGTCGCGGTATAATATGATCACAGTTATCAGTCGCAATAAACCATCTTCCAAGAATTTAAAAAGTGCCATTTTTACATATTGCCTTTCATGCAGTGTGTAACGTAGCTGTATGTGAATGTAAATGATCTGCAAAGCTGTAAAGCCGAAAGTGCACGATAAATAAAGTTATTATCTCCCAAAAGAAAGAATAGACTCTGAACAGCCGAAACGAGTCGTCACCCACTTCAGTGACGGCTACACATTTGCATAATGCCCATCTATGTTCTACATTGGTCGGCTGCGAACAACTTGACCCGTCCTCAAACACTGTAACTTGTTTGTTTTGTTAACATCATGTCAAGAAGATGCTGTGAAAGTAAATTCATTTTATTTTCATTTCCGAAAGATTCATTTTCAAAATTCACAGCAGTTCAACCCCAATCTTTTTTGTGTTCCCGTCATTTTACTGCCGACTGCTTCTCTAATCTCGGTGAGTTCAACACAGGATTCACAAAACGCCTGCTCTTGAGAGATGACTCAGTACCCAGTTTATTTGGACCAGCTGCTCCACTGAATCACACCCTGTAAGTATGATAAATAATAGATGTTTCAAAATACAGAACTATGGCAAAAGGTGTGAAAGTCTCATGTTGAAAGTCTCATGTTCATCAAGGCTGCATCTATTTGATCAAAGATACAGTAAAATTGTTCAACATTACAATTCAAAATAACTCCTTTGTATTGGAAAATATTTTAAAAAGTAATTTATTTCTGTGATCAAAGCTGAATTTTCAGCATCATTACTCCAGTCTTCAGTGTCACATGATCTTCAGAAATCATTCTAATATGCTGATTTGCTGCTCAAGAAACATTTCTGATCATTAACGCTTTGCTTCATATTTCTGTGGATTGATGAATGGATAGTTCAGAAGAACAGCATTTATTCAAAATATAAATCTTTTGAAACATTATAAATGTCTTTATTCTCACTTTTGAGCACTTTGATGTGTCCTTGCTGAATAAAAGTTTTAATTTCTTTAAAAAAAAAAATCTTACTGACCACAAACTTTTGTCATGTATTAATTTCTGAAGTCTTAAAAATCGGTAACATTCAAAGTCATCTTATAAAAATCATCACTATACTTCAGGCCTGGCCAGCTTTACTAAGGATGCAGAAAGCAGGTGCAGGTCAAATCCGGACATATTTTGAGCGAGCACTGAAGCAGAGGTGCTGGACTCGTAGGGCGAGAGTCATAAACACACAGGTGGAAAATGTGACGTGGCTCGGGCAGAGAGAGATGAACATAATACCCTGCACCGTGAAGAGGAGAGGGGCCTTTTAAAAGCCCCATGAAAAACAAGAAGCGCAAACAAAGCCACAAAGGCAAGGAAGACCCTGTATCAATCACCCTGTGGCAGGATCCACCTCCTACATCGCACGAGGCCTTTGTACGCAGAGTTTCTCTGATACCCGTCACCGAGCTGCTTGAAACAGACCTGCAGAAGAGCTGACTAATGATTACGAACTCTGAACTCTGGCTGATGTATGTCTGCCGATGCGTCCAAATGGCTCATTGTGCTGTATTACAGACAGGGTCACTCAACACTGCCGTAGCAACAAGCGGAAAACTAATCTGACCACACTGCTCAATGTACAGCGCTACGGCAAAACAAGCTGTATTTTGGCTGAAATGTGAAATACAAATCTGTCAACTCTATAACTTATGCAGTTAGTATTTACAACTATATTGTTTGAGCAAAAGTAATTTAACAAAGTATTCAAGTACTGCAAAATGTCTGAATGTTGTAACATGAAAAACAACAAACATTAGTAGTCAAGTACTCATTTTCTATTAGCAATAAAACAATCAAGCTTTAATTCACCACTATACGGTTTAATTCATACTACACTGTATGGTGAAATGAGATGAAATTTGTTGAGCAAACACTGAACATGCCATGGATGGACTGGACACTCAGGGTAGTTGAGTGCACTGCTCACACACTTCAGGACAAGATAATACACCGTGTGACTGACTTTATCAGAGACACAGACAGAGCGGGACGTGTGTGTGTGTGTGTGTGTGTGTGTATCAGCAGAGAGGCATCATCCAGTCACCACCTGATCCACTGAGGCTGGTGAGATGAGTCTCAATGTGAAAGTCTTATCACCACAGAGAGACACTCTCCTGACTAATCCGGCCCCAGACACTCCGCCTGCATGCTGATAACACAAGAAACGCATCACAGCTCGAGCCCCTCGAATCATATCTCCATGGCAGCAGAGCGCAAACAGACTCTGGATCAGGTGGAGATGAGGCGGTCCAACACTTCATTTCAACATCATCTCGGGGGGTGCAACAATAAGGATGACCTGCTGACCCCGGGCCAGTGTGAGAGAGTTTTGGGTCATTTCGGTACATTTTGATCATGTACATGAATTATTTATTTATTTATTGTTTGTTTGTTAACTTTTAGGGAAAATGATCTAAAAGTATCTATCTGACTACCATAGATGAGGTTTTGTTGAAATTGCAAGAGTGAATTGTGAAACAGTAAAAACAGGTAAAAAAAAAAAGAACACTATATACTGTGTATATATATAATATTATTTGCCATGCATGTCATAATTTTCCATAAACTGCTCAGAAATATTTTATAAAATGCTTAAAATATTTTATGAAATACATTACATCTATATATATATATATATACACACAAATATTTTAACAAATATATATACTGTATATATATATATAAAACATGCATATATATAAATATATATGCATAAAAAAATAACTTAATAAACTTTAGTCACTGCACCCTGACTCACAAATCCCGAAACAACTATTACTTTAACAAAGTTACAAAAAATAAACCTGTGACTGCTTAGAGTAGGCTTAAAACAAATTATATATTTTTTTTATTTAAGACTAATCATAACTTTTTTGTTTTGTAAATTATATTAAAAAAAATGTATGTATGTGTGTGTATTTTAAGCACATTTTTATTATATAATAATTTTTCTAAAAAATTTTTTTTTACATTTTAATTCATTTTTATACATTTTTGTACATTTTTCATTAATGTAAATATAATGTTTTTCATAAAATATTTCGTTAAAAGACAATTTGCAGTAATAACCAGAAAAAATACAATTACAGTGAATGAGACTTGTAAATGAATCACAGATCATTTACAGATTCATAAATAAAACACATACTGAGCTTATTTGAATACAAAAAGTTAAGACGCATTACCTCTTGTCTAACTAGTTCCTAAGACATAGGCTGTGTTTCTGCAACTGGCCCCTGGCCTTTATTCAAAGAGGAGAAAAGTTTTCAATTCTGACTGTGACAGTATGGTTTGGATTGACCGCTTTAATATTTATTCAGTGTTTGCTCCTCACCCCTCTTCCCATGAAGCCATTGTTGTGTGGAAGGCCGATGAATTTGAAGGCTGCTTCCTGGATGAAATACGGGTTCAGGATCCGTATATCTTCTGGCTCTCTTGGAACGACACGTGCCACGGACTTCCAGAATCCCTCCATACTCCGCTGAAAGACATCAAGAGCGGAACACAGAAGACACTTGAATTAATACAAGAAACAAATGAAAAGAATAAACCTGCGTGACTTCGCTGACGGTCTTTACCAGCTTTTCTTTTCAAACACTCCTGCTCTGTGAATACGCTATTATAACCGCAGAAAGGCCTAAAGTGAAGCTGACACAGAACAGTCACTCGCGGCCACTGAATAACGCTCTCAGCTGAGTAAATAAGCCGCTCACTTTGAATAAAAGAATAAAAAGGGTGACGCTAGCAAATCGTCGGAGCCAAAGAGCGTGTCTGAACACAGAGCTCTCTCGCTCTCCTCGTGGGATGCCCACTTCACCTGCAGCTAATATGAAGGACCTTACGAACACACCTGGGAGAGTGTGACTGTTAGAAGCCATAACTCCGCTTGACATTCTGGAGCAACAACACCGGTGGGATTTCATCAAACGGCATCCTAAGTCACGGTACTACAAATAAACACGCAGTGTAATTACGTCCTGCCCTGTTTTCTTTTCAAGGGCTTTACAGTGGGTCGCACAACTACACAAAAACAACAAGTGCTTTGACCCAGGGAGCCTTACTTTCTGGTGTAATACAAACCACATGTGTCGCGGTATAATATGATCACAGTTATCAGTCGCAATAAACCATCTTCCAAGAATTTAAAAAGTGCCATTTTTACATATTGCCTTTCATGCAGTGTGTAACGTAGCTGTATGTGAATGTAAATGATCTGCAAAGCTGTAAAGCCGAAAGTGCACGATAAATAAAGTTATTATCTCCCAAAAGAAAGAATAGACTCTGAACAGCCGAAACGAGTCGTCACCCACTTCAGTGACGGCTACACATTTGCATAATGCCCATCTATGTTCTACATTGGTCGGCTGCGAACAACTTGACCCGTCCTCAAACACTGTAACTTGTTTGTTTTGTTAACATCATGTCAAGAAGATGCTGTGAAAGTAAATTCATTTTATTTTCATTTCCGAAAGATTCATTTTCAAAATTCACAGCAGTTCAACCCCAATCTTTTTTGTGTTCCCGTCATTTTACTGCCGACTGCTTCTCTAATCTCGGTGAGTTCAACACAGGATTCACAAAACGCCTGCTCTTGAGAGATGACTCAGTACCCAGTTTATTTGGACCAGCTGCTCCACTGAATCACACCCTGTAAGTATGATAAATAATAGATGTTTCAAAATACAGAACTATGGCAAAAGGTGTGAAAGTCTCATGTTGAAAGTCTCATGTTCATCAAGGCTGCATCTATTTGATCAAAGATACAGTAAAATTGTTCAACATTACAATTCAAAATAACTCCTTTGTATTGGAAAATATTTTAAAAAGTAATTTATTTCTGTGATCAAAGCTGAATTTTCAGCATCATTACTCCAGTCTTCAGTGTCACATGATCTTCAGAAATCATTCTAATATGCTGATTTGCTGCTCAAGAAACATTTCTGATCATTAACGCTTTGCTTCATATTTCTGTGGATTGATGAATGGATAGTTCAGAAGAACAGCATTTATTCAAAATATAAATCTTTTGAAACATTATAAATGTCTTTATTCTCACTTTTGAGCACTTTGATGTGTCCTTGCTGAATAAAAGTTTTAATTTCTTTAAAAAAAAAAATCTTACTGACCACAAACTTTTGTCATGTATTAATTTCTGAAGTCTTAAAAATCGGTAACATTCAAAGTCATCTTATAAAAATCATCACTATACTTCAGGCCTGGCCAGCTTTACTAAGGATGCAGAAAGCAGGTGCAGGTCAAATCCGGACATATTTTGAGCGAGCACTGAAGCAGAGGTGCTGGACTCGTAGGGCGAGAGTCATAAACACACAGGTGGAAAATGTGACGTGGCTCGGGCAGAGAGAGATGAACATAATACCCTGCACCGTGAAGAGGAGAGGGGCCTTTTAAAAGCCCCATGAAAAACAAGAAGCGCAAACAAAGCCACAAAGGCAAGGAAGACCCTGTATCAATCACCCTGTGGCAGGATCCACCTCCTACATCGCACGAGGCCTTTGTACGCAGAGTTTCTCTGATACCCGTCACCGAGCTGCTTGAAACAGACCTGCAGAAGAGCTGACTAATGATTACGAACTCTGAACTCTGGCTGATGTATGTCTGCCGATGCGTCCAAATGGCTCATTGTGCTGTATTACAGACAGGGTCACTCAACACTGCCGTAGCAACAAGCGGAAAACTAATCTGACCACACTGCTCAATGTACAGCGCTACGGCAAAACAAGCTGTATTTTGGCTGAAATGTGAAATAGCGGTCTAAAATTAAACTTATGAGATAAACAGAAGAATATAACCATATATATATATGAAAAACATAATTAAAAAATATTAGTTAAACTTAAGAAAAATATTTTCTAAATAGAGCATCAATGATTGCCCTTTTTTTCAGCAATCTTAGTTCTGGGATTTTATTTTCTAAATTATATGATTTTTTAAAAATTATTATTTTAAATACTTCTAAAAGTTCCAAAAGATGAGCTTTTATGCACACTGAAAGACACTTACGTACATGGGGACCAGATCAAAACATAAAGCTATACATTGGTTTATAAAGAAATAAACCAGCACACTGTTACAGTAATCCCAGTATATGCTAAAATATACATGCGTAAAAAAATACATAATTATTCCCAATAAAATAACATTTGGGCTCTTTTACGTTTTATTGTAAAATCTTTAAAAAAGGGATAAATATATAGGCTGTCGTTATTACTATAACTAACTAAATAAATAAATGCAAAAAAGAACTAGTTAAATGAATGAATGAATAAACAATGCATTTATTAACAGTATGTTTTCACAAAAATAAATCATCATCTTTCTTTTAGTTTTTTGTCTTTTCATTGTCGTTAATGAAATAAAAAAAACCTTCATCAACAAGCTTTTTAGTCAATATCAACATGGTGTAAATATAAACAATATTAAACGTGGGTGAAGCTCATGGTGTAGCTTGAAAGATTATATGCTTGTTATCTTTAAAACTTCAAAACTCAATTTCTCTATGGAGAAAATAAATTACATTTGACTTCCAGAAACGTTCTGTTTCATAACTAAAACTTTTGATTGATTTACTCATGAACACATGGATCTCTGAATAAATTGAAAAAGACTCATGAGTTAAATCAACGTAATAAATCAGTCACTGACTGAACTCTGAGTTAACCGAATCACAGGTCATTACTTTCAGTCATATTCGACTATCTGATGTGCATACACTCACATACTGATGGGTAATCCCCAAACTCCAAACTTCCCTTCCTTTGGTTTAAAGAGTTCCTGACACATTTTTGTGTGATGATGTTAGGCTGCAACCTGTGGGCGTGGAGTGGGCCCTGTGTTTCCCTGCGCTGGAAGCCATTACGGCTCATACACTACAATGGCCGCTCTCAGTCGCTCTGACACTCTGGAGGTGCGAGTCGCAGACTTTATCACAGAATCCATCAGTTTCCAGCGGGCTGACATACACTGTGGCATTCATAAACCACTGTGGTTTTCTGCAGCCGTCTGTGGAGTGGCAGGGGCCGCTGACCCTGACATTGACCCCCAGCCCTCTGTCTCCTCATGTCTGAGTCACCAGGCTCTGAGGACACTTGACACTCATAAACACCATTGTATTGCAGTGTGTAAGCTGAAGATGTCATACAAAGCATCTAATGATTCATAGACTTGAGCTCTGTTCCGAACCCTAGCGAGCTGCCTACCTAGACCTCATGTTTGGCATCACAGGAACGGTACATATAAGAATGCTGACAGAACATAGGAGCTCACCAGGGTTTGGAAAAAAAATTATATTCAGGATATGTCTTCAGAAAAGAAGGATCCACTGAAGAGTTTTCAGCTTGAGTATGTTGAATCAAACATTTAGAGCCACACAGTATCTTTTTGAGTTGAATTAAATCCGAATTATCGCAAACCTTCTTGAATGTTCTCAAATTTGATGTTCTCACATCAAATCATCTTAAATTAAATCAAATTAAATATTTTCAAATTCGGTCATGTTCCTTCTCAAGTCACATCGGATCTTCTTAATTTGAGAACAGTATTTGTGACCCTGGAGCACAAAAGCAGTGTTAAGTCGCTGGGGTATATTTGTAGCAATAGCCAAAAATACATTGTATGGGTCAAAATTATAGATTTTTCTTTTATGCCAAAAATCATTAGGATATTAAGTAAAGATCATGTTCCATGAAGATATTTAGTAAATTTCCTACCGTAAATATATCAAAACTTAATTTTTGATTAGTAATATGCATTGCTAAGAACTTCATTTGGACAATTTTAAAAGTGATTTTCTCAATATTTGGATTTTTTTGCACCCTCAGATTCCAGATTTTCAAATAGTTGTATCTCGGCCAAATATTGTCCTTTCAAACCATACATCAATGGAAAGCTTATTTATTCAGCTTTCAGATGATGTATAAGCCTCAATTTCAAAAAATTGACCCTTATGACTGGTTTTGTGGTCCAGGGTCACATATAAGAATTTTTTACAGAATTTTTTTCTCAAATCTTCTTGAATGATCTCAAATTTGAGTCACATCAAATCATCTTAATCATCTTATATTTTCAAATTCAGTCAGGTTCTTAATCTTCTTGTGAAATGTCCTTACAATGTTCTTCCTCTTCTCTTGGCCTCAAATTTGAGTCACATCAAATCATCTTAGTCAATTGAAATCTTATCTTTTGAAATTCACTCATTTTTTAAACCATCTTGTGAAATGTCCTTAAAAAGTTCCTTCTCCATTCTTCTAAAGTCTCAACTTTATCTTCTCAAATCATTTCTTCTTGTTCTCACATCAAATCATCTTAAATTAAATCTTTTCAAATTCAGTCATTTCCTCAATCTTCTTGTGAAATGTTCTTGCAATGTTCCTTCTCTTCTCAACTCACATCAAAACTTCCTTTTGAGAATTTTTGGAATGTTCTCAAATTTAAGTCACATCAAATCATCTTAACCAAATTAAA